GTGTAGTAGTAGTGGGAACGATGGTGGGTGTGTAGTAGTAGTGGTGACGATGGTGGGTGTGTAGTAGTAGTGGTGACTATGGTGGGTGTGTAGTAGTAGTGGTGACGATGGTGGGAGTGTAGTAGTAGTGGTGACGATGGTGGGTGTGTAGTAGTAGTGGTGACGATGGTGGGAGTGTAGTAGTAGTGGTGACGATGGTGGGTGTGTAGTAGTAGTGGGAACGATGGTGGGTGTGTAGTAGTAGTGGTGACGATGGTGGGTGTGTAGTAGTAGTGGTGACGATGGTGGGTGTGTAGTAGTAGTGGGGACGATGGTGGGAGTGTAGTAGTAGTGGTGACGATGGTGGGTGTGTAGTAATAGTGGTGACGATGGTGGGAGTGTAGTAGTAGTGGTGACGATGGTGGGAATATAGTAGTAGTGGTGACGATGGTGGGAGAGTAGTAGTAGTGGTGACGATGGTGGGAGTGTGGTAGTAGTGGTGACGATGGTGGGTGTGTAGTAATAGTGGTGACGATGGTGGGTGTGTAGTAGTAGTGGTGACGATGGTGGGTGTGTAGTAGTAGTGGGGACGATGGTGGGAGTGTAGTAGTGGTGGTGACGATGGTGGGAGTGTAGTAGTAGTGGGGACGATGGTGGGAGTGTAGTAGTGGTGGTGACGATGGTGGGAGTGTAGTAGTAGTGGTGACGATGGTGGGAGTGTAGTAGTTAGTGGTGGTGACGATAGTGGGAATGTAGTAGTAGTGGTGACGATGGTGGGAATGTAGTAGTAGTGGTGACGATGGTGGGAGTGTAGTAGTAGTGGTGACGATGGTGGGAGTGTAGTAGTTAGTGGTGGTGACGATGGTGGGAGTGTAGTAGTAGTGGTGACGATGGTGGGAGTGTAGTAGTAGTGGTGACGATGGTGGGAGTGTAGTAGTTAGTGGTGGTGACGATGATGGGAGTGAAGTAGTAGTGGTGATGATGGTGGGAGTGCAGTAGTAGTGGTGACGATGGTGGGAATGTAGTAGTAGTGGTGACGATGGTGGGAGTGTAGTAGTAGTGGTGACGATGGTGGGAGTGTAGTAGTAGTGGTGACGATGGTGGGAGTGTAGTAGTGGTGGTGACGATGGTGGGAGTGTAGTAGTGGTGGTGACGATGGTGGGAGTGTAGTAGTAGTGGTGACGATGGTGGGAGTGTAGTAGTAGTGGTGACGATGGTGGGAGTGTAGTAGTAGTGGTGACGATGGTGGGAGTGTACTGGTGGTGGTGACGATGATAGGAATGTAGTAGTGGTGGTGACGATGGTAAGAGTGTAGTAGTAGTGGTGACGATGGGGGGAGTGTAGTTGTGGTGACGATGGTGGGAGTGTAGTAATGGTGACGATGGTGGGAGTGTAGTTGTGGTGACGATGGTGGGAGTGTAGTAGTGGTGACGATGGTGGGAGTGTAGTAGTGGTGGTGACGATGGTGGGAGTGTAGTAGTAGTAGTGGTGACGATGGTGGGAGTGTAGTAGTAGTGGTGACGATGGTGGGAGTGTAGTTGTGGTGACGATAATGAGAGTGTAGTAGTAGTGGTGACGATGGTGAGAGTGTAGTAGTAGTGGCGACGATGGTGAGAGTGTAGTAGTGGTGACGATGGTGGGAGTGTAGTAGTAGTGGTGACGATGGTGGGAGTGTAGTAGTGGTGGTGACGATGGTGGGAGTGTAGTAGTAGTGGTGACGATGGTGGAAATGTAGTAGTAGTGGTGACGATGATAGGAATGTAGTAGTGGTGGTGACGATGGTAAGAGTGTAGTAGTAGTGGTGACGATGGTGGGAGTGTAGTTGTGGTGACGATGGTGGGAGTGTAGTAGTGGTGACGATGGTGGGAGTGTAGTAGTGGTGACGATGGTGGGAGTGTAGTTGTGGTGACGATGGTGGGAGTGTAGTAGTGGTGACGATGGTGGGAGTGTAGTAGTGGTGGTGACGATGGTGGGAGTGTAGTAGTAGTGGTGACGATGGTGGGAGTGTAGTTGTGGTGACGATGGTGAGAGTGTAGTAGTAGTGGTGACGCTGGTGAGAGTGTAGTAGTGGTGACGATGGTGGGAGTGTAGTAGTAGTGGTGACGATGGTGGGAGTGTAGTAGTGGTGACGATGGTGGGAGTGTAGTAGTGGTGGTGGCGATAGTGGGAGTGTAGTAATGGTGACGATGGTGAGAGTGTAGTAGTAGTGGTGACGATGGTGGGAGTGTAGTGGTGGTGACGATGGTGGGAGTGTAGTAGTGGTGACGATGGTGAGAGTGAAGTAGTAGTGGTAACTGGTGGGAGTGTAGTAGTAGTGGTGACGATGGTAGGAGTGTAGTAGTAGTAGTGACGATGGTGGGAGTGTAGTAGTGGTGACGATGGTGGGAGTGTAGTAGTAGTGGTGACGATGGTGGGAATGTAGTAGTAGTGGTGACGATGGTGGGAGTGTAGTAGTAGTGGTGACGATGGTGCGAGTGTAGTAGTGGTGACGATGGTGCGAGTGTAGTAGTGGTGACGATGGTAGGAGTGTAGTAGTTGTGGTAACGATGGTGGGAGTGTAGTAGTAGTGGTGACGATGGTGCGAGTGTAGTAGTGGTGACGATGGTGGGAGTGTAGTAGTGGTGACGATAGTGGGAGTGTAGTTGTGGTAACGATGGTGGGAGTGTAGTAGTAGTGTTGACGATGGTGGGAGTGTAGTAGTGGTGACGATGGTGGGAGTGTAGTAGTAGTGGTGACGATGGTGAGAGTGTGGAAGTTGTGGTGACGATGGTGCGAGTGTAGTAGTAGTGGTGACGATGGTGCGAGTGTAGTAGTGGTGACGATGGTGGGAGTGTAGTAGTTGTGGTAACGATGGTGGGAGTGTAGTAGTAGTGGTGATGATGGTGCGAGTGTAGTAGTGGTGACGATGGTGGGAGTGTAGTAGTAGTGGTGACGATGGTGAGAGTGTAGATGTTGTGGTGACGATGGTGGGAGTGTAGTAGTAGTGGTGACGATGGTGGGAGTGTAGTAGTGGTGACGATGGTGGGAGTGTAGTAGTAGTGACGATGGTGAGAGTGTAATAGTAGTGGTGACGATGGTGCGAGTGTAGTAGTGGTGACGATGGTGGGAGTGTAGTAGTGGTGACGATGGTGGGAGTGTAGTAGTGGTGACGATGGTGGGAGTGTAGTTGTGGTAACGATGGTGGGAGTGTAGTAGTAGTGGTGACGATGGTGGGAGTGTAGTAGTGGTGACGATGGTGGGAGTGTAGTAGTGGTGACGATGGTGGGAGTGTAGTTGTGGTAACGATGGCGGGAGTGTAGTAGTAGTGGTGACGATGGTGGAAGTGTAGTAGTGGTGACGATGGTGGGAGTGTAGTAGTGGTGACGATGGTGAGAGTGTAGAAGTTGTGGTGACGATGGTGCGAGTGTAGTAGTGTTGACGATGGTGGGAGTGTAGTAGTGGTGACGATGGTGGGAGTGTAGTTGTGGTAACGATGGTGGGAGTGTAGTAGTAGTGGTGACGATGGTGGGAGTGTAGTAGTGGTGACGATGGTGGGAGTGTAGTAGTGATGACGATGGTGGGAGTGTAGTAGTGGTGGTGACGATGGTGGGAGTGTAGTAGTGGTGACGATGGTGGGAGTGTAGTAGTGGTGGTGACGATGGTGGGAGTGTAGTAGTGGTGACGATGGTGGGAGTGTAGTAGTGGTGACGATGGTGGGAGTGTAGTAGTGGTGGTGACGATGGTGGGAGTGTAGTAGTAGTGGTGACGATGGTGGGAGTGTAGTAGTAGTGGTGACGATGGTGGGAGTGTAGTAGTAGTGGTGACGATGGTGGGAGTGTAGTAGTGGTGGTGACGATGGTGGGAGTGTAGTAGTGGTGACGATGGTGGGAGTGTAGTAGTGGTGGTGACGATGGTGGGAGTGTAGTAGTAGTGGTGACGATGGTGGGAGTGTAGTAGTAGTGGTGACGATGGTGGGTGTGTAGTAGTTAGTGGTGGTGACAATGGGAGAGTGTAGTAGTGGTGGTGACGATGGTGGGAGTGTAGTAGTAGTGGTGACGATGGTGGGAGTGTAGTAGTTAGTGGTGGTGACAATGGGAGAGTGTAGTAGTGGTGGTGACGATGGTGGGAGTGTAGTAGTGGTGACGATGATGGTGTGAGTGTAGTAGTAATGGTGATGATGGTGTGAGTGTAGTAGTAGTGGTGACGATGGTGGGAGTGTAGTAGTAGTGGTGACGATGGTGTGAGTGTAGTAGTAGTGGGGATGATGGTGTGAGTGTAGTAGTAGTGGTGATGATGGTGTGAGTGTAGTAGTAGTGGGGATGATGGTGTGAGTGTAGTAGTAGTGGTGATGATGGTGTGAGTGTAGTAGTAGTGGGGATGATGGTGTGAGTGTAGTAGTAGTGGTGATGATGGTGGGAGTTGTAGTAGTGATGATGGTGGGAGTGCAAAAGTAGTGATGACGATCGTGGGAGGGGTAGTAGACCAGTAGTAGTGCCCAAAACGCTATGCGTACTAGTGGCTTTAGGTATTGTTTGTACTAGCTCTATTTATAAATCCAACATTATGTTTGTAAATTAACTATGTATGTACTTTCCTGAATAAAATTTACTTTACTCTCCGCATATGTCAGTTGCTTAATTTAGAAACTGTACTTGTGATCGATCTCGAATATATTGATGATGTGACGATGTGTATTGAATTTTGTAACTAGCTCATCATGATTGTAATTTGCTTAGCTAAATGAATTGTAGAGTTCAGTCCCTGAGCCCATTATGTGCCTCTGTAACCCTTTCCACCTCCGCCGACAAGACGGGTATGGGGTGCATAATAAATGAACTAAACTAAAAAAACTAACGTTTATCAATAAAATTATTACATTTGATCGAATAAAGAATATTTTTTCCTAGTCATTACTTGGAGGATTTTCATAGAGACAGTGTTTCTAATATGGAGAACAATTTTTAATACAAAATATGTTGTATAAGAATTTAGAACCATTAGGTTAGTTGTGTAGGGGCGCTGCGGCTGTCGTAAGTAAACAAAACCTAACAACAAGTTATATTTTCCTAATTATTTGGTCACTTGCGGAGAGATAGTCTCTATAGTGTGTCACCTGTGAGTATATAGTGTTGAGATTTATGCCTTGGGCTAGGTACTGGAGCCGGTTAGATAATTCCACGCCGGGTTTTGCACAGAACACGATCCGTCAGACCTGTTACCTGAATTTACCTGTGAACCACTAACACTAGTGGCCTCGACGAGGAGAGGAAGCCGGCGGCTTGTCGAAGGTCCCCCCCATTTGCATTGATCATCTCTTCCATTTGCACTTCAAAAAGTAGCAGACTTTTGGCATTTACGGCCTTGGCGGGTAGGCTGTTCCGTGGGTTTATAACCCTATGTGTGAAAAAGCATCTCCTGTTCTCAGTCCTATATTGTGTCTTGTTGAGCTTGAAACCGCGACGGCACCGCTCCTGTGCCAGGTAAGTCCACTACGGGCTCACCATAGCCTGTGCTACTTGCTCCGCTCCTGTGCCAGGTAAGTTACGGGCTCACCATCGCCTGTGCTACTTGGAACTTGTTCCGAATAGCTGAATCTATAACAACAACAACAACTTAAAACCGTTGCTCCTTGTTTGTGTTATATATATAACGTTTTCTAGAAATTTTCTGGATCGACATCCTTCAAATTGTTTAGTATTTTCAAGGTTTCAATAAGATCTGCCCTGCCATGCCTGGTTTGCAGGCAGGTATTGTTAGCCTCAACAGTTCCTGATATGCGAGTTGAGTTAGCTCTGGAATTATTTTTGTTGCCCAGTGTTGCACTTTATCCGGAGCAGTTATGTCCTTCTAACGATAAGGTCTCCATGCTTAGATACAGCAATCCAAATGGAGGGACACCAGAGATTTATACGATTGAATTGAATGTGTTACTTTTTATTCATATTTATATTTTTATATTTATTTTTTACTTTTCAAAAAAGTTTTACTTCTATGTAGGGAAGGAAGGGAATTATCAAGGGACAGCACCAAGTCATTACGACTATATAGCACTGGGAAGGGATCAGGATAAGGATTTGGGATGGGACAGGGGGAAAGAATGGTGCCCAACCACTTGGACGGTCGTGGATATAACGCTGATCTGCATGAAGTGAGACCGTCGCTCTACCTTCCACCTCAAAGTACAGTAATTAAATTTTTATTTTATTTTATTTTATTTATTTAAATACAAGAAGGTACAATAGGTTGTGAGACTACTGAACAATGGTGTTTAATTATTACATTCTTTGAGAGTCACTTCCAAGCATAGCGGTTTGGGCAGGTCCTTAAACCTTTTAGGGCACGATACATACATGTATATATGGCCTAAGAGTTAGGCCATATATACATGTATGGTAAGGCCATAGGTTTCTCAAACTTTCTCAAATGCTTCAAAAGTTTTGTGCATAATCTACTAGCAAATGCTACAACTTTGTCTAAATGATCACCAACTAAATTGAAAAACCAGAGAATCAAAAATAATTCTAAAATTGAATATTGAAAACTTCAGATTTTGAAATCAGCATCAAAAATATAATATATCACCAATTGTTCATTTAGTGCTATAATGCTCTCAGAATAGCATATGATTTTCATTTTCACAGATTTAGAATATAGGTTTTCAGTATAGTTTACTGTAAAAAAAAAATTGTCAATATGGTATTTGAAATATGTGCCAAATTTAGTCAATTTTTTTTTAACGCCAAACGTTTAGGGTTTATAAAAAATCCATTCTAGAGGGATTGTAGAACAGACAGCTGTGCACACTATATGTAAAAATTGTGAGAATTGGTCAGAAGCTAATTTTTTTATGCTGCTCTTAAGTTGAAACTCTAGTTTTAGAGATAATTGAAGTTGAGGTTATTGAAAATGAATAAGGTAGTACTAATTAATCAATTTACTGTACTTGTATGTTTTAATGAACATTGTTTGGCATTCATAATCGAATATGTAAAAGTTGTAGGTCAATATGTGTTCAAATGAAGTCGAGAGAAAGTAACCCCCCAAAAAAACAAATATAGGGATAATTATAATGATTTAGGGGATATGTATGTATACTTTATATAAGTGATAAAGCCCTGATCTGGCTCCTAATCATCAAAACAACCTAAAGAGACAAAGAAAATAGAGTTTTAAATCTGTGAAAAAATCAGCCCCCAAAAATTCACAAATCCCAAGTTCTGCCACTTGTGATTTAATTATTTGTTGACCAATTTCATTCTATCTTCATATACAGTAGTTAGGGACGGGTATACACTCTCCAGGATGTAGACGTCTGAGGGTTTTGGACTCGGGGCAGGGTTTGCCCTAGTTGTGAGTCTCGGCAGCTTCGGGGATTGCCCCATCCAGATCAGCGGCAGAGGCACTCGAGCCTGTTTCTCCTGCCGGTGCCTTTGGGCCATGCCAGCGGGCCCTCCTTCAACCCGACTTTTCCGGCAGACTGCTTTTTCTCCAGAGGCAGAGGGTTTGGAGGCCCTTCAGGTCATCCGGTAGTGGGTTCGCTTGGGCGTGGTCGAAACCATCAGGTGGGTTTCCTGCCTGTTTTCAATTCCGAAACGGGACTGTGGATCTGTGATTTATATTGGACTTGTCTGAATCCCTAGGTCTTTTGCCCTTCCTTTCGGATGACCATTCTGTCTTAGGTCCGGCTGCTTTTAGTGCCGGGGGGGGGGGGGGCTTGGATGGTATCTCTGGACCTCCGGAACACGTATTAGCACGTCCCGATTCATCCGAGGTTCAGGGACTGGCTCGGTTTTGTCGTGGGGCGACAGGCTTACTGCTTTCATTACCTTCCATTCAGTTTGACTCTGGCATATTGCGTGTTCACGTGCCTTACCCGGGTCGTGGTGACCCGTTTGCGTCTGTTAGGGGTTTGGGTTCTGGCTTACCTCATCAACTGACTGGTGTGGGATCCCAGCCAGTCCGTGTGTCTGCTCGCCAGGGATTTGGTTCTTTCCCAGTTCACCAGGTTCAGATTCTTGGTGAACTGGAGAAGTTCCATTTGGTTTCCCTCTCAAGTTCAGACTTGGCTGGGTCTCGTGTAGGACTCTTGGACCGCTTCCTTGTCTCTCCCTCCTGCGACGCTGTTGCTGCTGCTGTCCAGCATACGACTGTTTTTGGAGGGCACCCGGGTCACGTCGGTTGTTCGAGTGGCTGTGAGGGAGCCTGAACTTCGCTGTGCGGGTCTACCTGTCGGGTCTGATCTGGCTATTCTGATTTCTTCGGGGACATTCCTTCCGCCGCTCTTGCTTGTTGGGTTTGGATTCCGGGAGCCTTGTGTCGGCTGCTGCGTCGCCGGCTTCCTCTGCAGGTTTTTCGGGGTTCTGTGCTGTGGTGCCTCCCCGAGCTCTCGCTCGATGTGTTCACGGATGCCTCGTCTCTTGGCTGGTGCTTTGTGACCAGTGCTCACCAAGCCGACCAGGGTTGGTGGGGTCTGTCCTTACGTTGGGCTCACAGCATGGCACGGGAGTTTGTGGGGGTGTGGCATTCGCTTCAGAGGATTCGTGTCACTCACGGAGCAACAATCCAGCTCCATTCAGACTGCTCCCCTATGGTTCATTGCCTGAACTGTGGGGGTTCGATGCGTTCCTTGGCTCTTTGGGGCTGGTCACTTTGGGTGACTCGTCTGTTGAATTCTCGGGGTTTGGCTCTCCTGGCGGTTCACGTTCAGGGGAGGCGGGTGTCAAACGTCTTGGCGGATGGCCTGTCTCGGTTCATTTCCCTATCCACGGAATGGACAGTCAACGCTGACTCGTTCAGTTGGCTCTGCTGGACATATGGGCGCCTGGAGGTGGACCTCTTCGCATCGGCGTAGTCGAGGCGTCTTCTAGTGTATGTGGCGCCATTCCCAGACTGCGAGGCCGTCGGGGTCGATGCCTTTCGGCTGGACTGGTTAAGGTGGGGTTACTTGTAACTTTTCCCACCAGTTCGGTTGTTGCTCCGGGTCCTGGCTCGGTTGGAGACTTACCAGGGGAGAGTAGTCCTGTTGGCTCATTGGTGGCTAGCCCAGCCCTGGTTTCAGCAGCTTCTTGCTCTATGTCCGAACCCGAGGGTCTTCTCGCGGCTCCGCCGCATTCAGCAGATCGGTTCAGTCTGGTACGTGGCTGGTTTGATCTCCTCCACTCTTCACGTCTGGTCATTTTGATGCAGGGTTTATCACCACTTGTATGGTGATCAGGTGGCTTTGTTGATGGTGTCCGACCTGAGAATTTTGTCTCGACGGCAGTATGAAATTTCCTGGTGGTCCTATCGTCATTTTTTATCTCTTCATAGGTTGTCTTCGATTTCTGATCGGGTTGTTTTGTCCTTTCTCTCTTGGTTGTTTCAGGACCGTCATCTTATGCTAAATATTGTTGCCTCGTATCGTGTGGTGCTGGCGGAGCCGTTGCAGCTTGCATTTGGTGTGGATATTACTTCTGCTCCATTCCGCAAGCTTTCTTGGGTGTTGTTTCACCTCCGACCTGCTCATGCGCCGCCTGAGCTGTCCTGGTCATTGGACCGGGTGCTGTCTTTCCTCTTTTCTCCTCGGTATGTGGTGGCCCCCCTCGGTTTAGGACTGTGTTTCTAAGGCTCTTTTCTTGTTGGCATTTGTCTCTTTGTTCGGATTGGGGAGCTTCATGCTCTCCTCTGGCGCAGGGGTTTCTGCTCTTTCGGTCCTGGTGGTCATTTCGTTCATTTGCAACTGTCTTCTTCTTTTCTGGCGAAGAATGAGTCTGCTGCTTTCTGAAGGGGTCCTTGGGTTGTTGATGCTTGATTGGTTCGGCAGGGGGTGCATCATGTTTTGTGTCCGGTTGCAGCTCTTCGCCGTTATTTGCGCTCCACGACCTCCTTGACAGGGGGTGCGCTATGGGTGGACCCGGTTTCCCTTCTTCCCTGTTCCAGGGCGCGGGTCTCCCAGGTTGTCCGCAGGATTATTCGGTCCTGCCAGCTTGCGATCTATTGCCCATGACGTTCGTAAGTTCGCGGATTTGGCTGCTGTTTTTGGTAATATGTCCTGGGCTGACATTCGGGCACAGGGCTTTTGGAGGTCAAACAGAGTCCTGGCCGCACGGTATCTTGTTAATGTTCCTGGTCCTTCTTGGGTGTGTGTAGCCTTGGGTCGCAGGTTGCAGCCAGTTGTTTTGACTTCGAGTGGAGGAGCGATTAACGGCCGCCTCCCAGGTAAATCCCTCTTCCTCTTTTTCGTTGGTTAGGTAGCTTCGGGGAGCCGAAGGGGCTCTCCACAGAAAACCAGCATTGAATGTAAAGAAACGCCATTTTCTAGGTGAGACCCGTTAGCTCCCGGCATCCCTCTCTCCCTCCGGTCTGCATTTTTTTTCGCGTTTTTGTTATTCAGCCTCTGAACTGGGGAGAATAGCCGGCGTGGTGGTCTAGGACCCCCTGTTCCCCTCCTTGGGAGGGGGAAGTTGTGCAGATGGATGCGTGGTGGTTGTGGTGGTGTCATGTTTGTTTCCTTGTTTTTGATTGGGGGAATTCTGTTTGCTAGTTCGGCTTTCGGTTTGCAATTTTTGACCAGCAGTAGTTTGTTTTGGAATTCCTACCTTTCTGGGTGCCTGACCTGGTAGATGGCAGACAATGACTGCTTCCAATTACGCAGGGGGTTTCTTTAGGCCATTGCTCCTCATGCCTCTTCTTGAGGGGGGCCAGGTTCTGACTCTGGTCCCCGGTAGGCCTAGAACTCCTTCGATTGACTGTTGCCACGGTCTAATATATACACATCAGCCCAGTACAGCTCCAAGAAGCCTCCAGGCTTCACCCAGAAAATAGCTTTGAAAAATTCAACGCTTTTTTTTTTTTTAAATGTTCGTCTAAAATCAATTTCTGAAAATATTTTTATGAAAGTTCCACGATGCTGAAGCCAATAAGTTGGAGATTTGTTTAACATTTTTAAGTAATTTTTACGTAATTTGAATATTTTTCGAATTATGCCCTCCTTATGCTGAGCAGCTTAAGGGTTAATACAGTAAAATATTTAGAAAATAAAAATGCATATTTCAAATGATATTCATTATTAAAAGAGCAAGAATAGGAAAAATGTACAATCTGATGGAAATTACTTAGCAGGATAATCAAATGATACTGTTTTCACCACAGCCATCCTACTTGATTTATATTTTTCTCAAACAAATCCAAATTTTTGGATGGGTTATCTGAAGATTCCTTTGCACATTGTACTGTGGAATCAAGATCGAGTGTACAATGCTTGCGCTTTCCAGCCAGTTACTTTCTTTCCGGAATGTTAGATTAGGAGGCAGCTGGAAATTGGGCGAAATATCATGAAACATTTTGTCATCACCATCAAAATGCCTTTTGTGAATTTATGACAAATATTTGTTCTTCATAACAAGATATAAATTTTAATATTTACTGAATATTCATTAATTTACAGATACAGTATTTCTATATGTTTCATGGTAGAAATGTGTGTGTGTTGTATGTGTAAAATTTAAATGAGTATTTTTCTTTCAGATGTGAAATGTGAATATGTCAGTGTCTTTAATTAGAAAACTGTAAAGCAGCTCTGCAATGGGACCTGGTGGAGCTACTGTTGGACACCATGTGTCCCAAGACCCTGTCGCCCAAATGAATACCTTTCGTTCGTACGTGTCTATGCTTGCAGATCCAGGCTCCAAAGATGAAAACAAGCTGAAGGCGGCACAGGCCCTAAGTGAAGATCTTGAGGTCAGTGTAATACTATAGCTATTAGAATAAATTCCAGTGTTTGATTTTCAGTGTCCATTAAGGGAATTATAAATAAACCATTGTACTAATTCTGGATGATCCTTATCAGATTAGCACAAAGCATTTACAGTATCTCTTTGGATTCATATCAAATATGATTTGCTTTAAAAGGTTTAATAGATAGTAATGAACTAAAATTTCTGGTATGTTGCATAAACTCATTACATGTATAATATGTTGTTATACAGTAGAACCTCGCATAACGATCGCCCCAAAAGGCAAATATTTTGGGTAACGAACATCCCGATCGGCATCAAATCGTCCCGTATGGCAAATGCTCGTTTGTGTAACATCAACACCACATGGTGGGGTCACGCTGCTTCTTGCACATTCTTAGACGCCTCCGACGATGCACATAAATTATGTTGTTCTTGTTTAAAGATGCTAATGATGCTGGGATATAAAGGGGTGACTGCTGAGATGTTGCAAAGCATTGACGTTTTTGTAGAAAAAGAAGTGACATTTTTTGCAATGCAACAAATGTCAAAAAGGTTCATTCGGTGTTCAGCAGGTAGGCTGCTCCATTATAACAATCTTTCTTTGTTTCAAATGTGTTCCATTTGTTTTGTATTTGTCATTTACGTCTCAATAATGGAGCTGCCTACCTTACATACACTGAACAAACCTTTGACATTTTTCCTTTCTTTAAATGTGTTCAATATTTATTTTTAATTTGTCTTATTGCAAAAGGTTCGTTTGGTGATCAGTAAGTAGGCTGCTCCATGTTTCTTACATAAAAAAACGTAAATAAAAAAAATGAAGAATTTTGAAAGCCAGAACAAATGTCAAAAAGGTTCGTTCGGTGGTCTACAAGTAGGCTGCTCCATGTTTGTTAAATAAAAAAACGAAAAATAAAAAAATAGTTGAAACAATTTGAAAAATGGATAAATGCCATAAAGGTTTATTCAGTGTTTGTCGGGTAGGCCACTCCATTATTGAGACGTAAGTGACAAATACAAAACAAATGGAACACATTTGAAACAAAGAAAGATTGTCATAATGGAGCAGCCTACCTGACAAACACTGAATAAACCTTTTGCTATAAAAAATATGAAAGACTTATGGCTGCTGGCTGGGTTAGTACTGCTTGAGCAACCATTTGTGGCACACGCACCTCTGGCTCCCAAACACCTGTCCCACACGGTGTTGAAAGCAGGTTCGAGCTAGTTATGAATGATTTATTTGATGTTTGGCAGTTTTTAAGTTTCCAGTTCTTGTGATCTATGCAAAGGTTTGTAATACAGTACTTTATTGACTTTCTTGTTATTTTCCCGGTGGAGTCTATCTGTTGACTACCTGTTGAAGGTTCTGGGGATCAATGTCCCCGTGGCCTGGTCTCTGACCAGACCTCCTCATTGCTTGTCTGATCCACCAGGCTGTTTGATGCAGTTACTTACAGCTTGATGTGAGTCACATCCTAGTTGATCAGGTATCTTTTGAAAGTGCTTGTTGAGTTCTCTTTTGAACACTGCGAGAGGTTGGCCAGTTATGCCCCGTATGTGTATGGGAAGAGTGTTGAAAAATCTTGAACCATTGATGTTAATCAAGTTCTCTCTCTCGTCATGCCTATTACACCTCTGCTCCTCAGTGGGGTTATTTTGCACATCCTGCCATGCCTTCTGGTCTCATGTGGTGTTATTTCTGTGTGCAGATATATATTTTTTTAATATTTTAACAGGACTAGTTACTTCTAAAATAGTAGAAGGAATATCCTTCCACCCCCCCCCCCTTCTAAAGGAAATGGTGGGGAATGTGATTCATGCTCTTCTCTGTGAGGGGGGCCAGGTTTTGACTCTGGTCCCTATTAGGCAAAACAGAACTCCTATGACTGAGGTGATGTAGTAGTAGATAGGGGCAGTCTCAGCGAGGTAGCTTCAGGGAGCCACCTGGGCTCTACCAGAAAGAGAAGTTTCATTACATTGAATGTTTTTTTTTTTTTATTGTGATTACTTTAGACAACAACTTCAGAATTTTTCAGTTATTTTGTTATAATGTGTAGAAATTGTATCCTAAGATGTTTTTTCTTTTGTTCACAGGCAATTGTAGCTTCCCCGCAGTATCCGTCATTTCTTGAACATGCTATGAAGATATTTATTAAAATTCTTAGTGAAGGAGACCCTCTCTTCATTTCAGAGTACAATATTCAGGTATGCCTACTTCTGTACATGAACTTGTTAACGTGTGTATTTTAGCCTTAAATTTACAATTAAAGAAAATATGCCAATTTTGAATAATGTTGGTATAGTATGTAATTTGGAATTCCACATCAGAAAAAATCCCTTTTGTGTTGCTCTGGGGCCAGATTCATGAAGCAGTTACGCAAGTACTTAGGAACGTGTACATCTTTCCTCAATCTTTGACAGCTTTGGTTACATTTATTAAACAGTTTACAAGCATGAAAACTTCCCAATCAACTGTTGTTATTGTTTTAAACAGCCTCCTGGTGCTTTGGGGTTCATTAACTGTTTAATAATTGTAAACAAAGCTGCCAAAGATTGAGAAAAGATGTACAGGTTTGTAAGTGCTGGCGTAACTGCTTCATGAATCTGGCTCCAGATTATTTGAAGTATAAACCGAACTACTATACCTTTATTAAAAGCCTATGGAAAATCTTTACGGATATTAGAGACCTGTAAATACTACCCATTTCTCCCCTCTTTTCACTGCAAATCTTCTTGTCCTTGCTTTGCATCCAAACAAATGAAAATTGATAATGATTTACTTAGAAAATCAAGATTCCATTCTAATTTTTAACTTAATTGGCTAAAAAAGATGCCCATTCAAAATCCTGCATCAAAATGGGGATAAAAATTTTTGATGCCCATTCAAAATACTGTAAGCTTATCATAACTTAAAAACCCTTAGACATTGTCCCTCATAGCAATTCCACACTATTTTTTTGTAAAAAAAAAAAAAAAGAGGGAGGGGGGTGGGGAACCACCACTACTACACCTAATAAAAGACTAATAACTAATTTTTAAGTTATAATAGTAAACACCAACAAATTTCCTTTAAAGATTTTGTTGCTTAACTGAATAGGAAAAATAAAATACATATAAAATTTGTGTACCTATCCTGGTTTGTCTGTTTTTACTTATCGTTGCCTACTTATCAGTAACTATGGGGCAATAACATCTTGCTTTTCTGGGGATAGCCCAGGAGGCTTCCTGAAGCTAACCGAACTGATGTGCACTTTATTAGTTTGGGGTCATCAGGCACTTTAGTTCTGAGTCTACCGGGGACCAGGAGCCAGAACCTACCCGCCAAACACACACTGAAACTACGACGTTGGAATAACGTTCGAACAAGTTTTAACACCTAACCAGTTATAACAACCAATATAGCAAGTTGTAACAACGTTTTAATACGTCATGAACACGTTAAGCCAAGATATAACAACTTTATTTCAAGTTGTAACAAGCGGAAAGTAGAGACAGTTTCGGTTTGTGTTTCCAGGGTAGTCCCCTCAGAGAGGTGCGTGGAGCAATGGCATATGAGCCATTTACATTTAAAGTATTGTCATATTCCACCATTGACCGGTGCAGTAGCCCAGAAAGATAGGCGAAGCAAAACAAGCAACTAGCTGGTAAAATGCGACCTACAGCCCAAAAGTGCAAAGAAACTCCCGTTCAATAAAGAAACAAACCAAAACTAGCAACTCTGCAAGAAAACTAGTACTTCAGCTCGTTAGTGGAACCCCCTCCCCCAGGGGGGGGGAGAGGGAGTAGTCGGCTCAGTCTACCCTTCCACCGTTCACTGTCACTGTCCATCCCTCCAGTACATGTACGAAGTCTGATGAAACCGCCGACTGGAGGGAGGAGGGTGTCATGGAGTTTCCAGGGCTACCCCCAGAAAAGGGTGATTAATTATATTCAACACTGGCTTTCTTGGAGGACCCCTGTCAGTTCCCTGAAGCTAACTACCCACAGAGAAGGAAAAATAGGGATTTACCCAGGAGGTAGGTACTCCACACGTCTCAGTCTGTAGAAGGAACCGTTGGCCGGGATAAATGCTCCAAAGCGACACAAAGCCGGACAGACCCTGGGACATTCACAAGGTACCTGGTGGCCAGGACCTTGTTCGACCTTCAAAACCCCTGTGCCCAAATGTCAACCCAACACATGTTACCGAACACGGCCGTGAGCACCATGAATATCCTCGCATCATGGACATGAGGGTAGACCGCAGGCTGGCTGGATTTTATGACACTGTAGACAACCTGGAACATGAGCCCTGGAACAGGGAACCAGGGAAACCGGATCCACCCAAAGAGCGTCGGCCATCAAAGAACCAGTGGCCCGTAGGTAGCGGTGCAAAGCCACCACGGACATTGAAAATGTCCGAGAAGTGCAACACAACGAGAAATTAAAATATTCTAAATCTGGTCTTTACGAACAATGAAGACATTATCAGGGACTTTACGATCTCAGATACCACATACTCAGATCACAAGCTCATTGAAGTGCAAACGACCATCAATACTCAGAATAGACCTAACACGCTGATCAAGCGAGAGGAGTTATTCAGTAAATTCAATTTTAATAATAAAAGGATAGACTGGGAGATAATAAACAGGGAACTTACAAATATTCCATGGGAAACTGTTCTAAGTAATACAAGTCCTACAGAAAGAATAGAAAAGCTGACTTCGGAAGCGTATCAAGTCTGTCTGAAACATGTTTCTTTGAGGAAAGCCAGAAAGAGATCAAAGTAGAAAGAGAATGCAGACGACACTATAAAAGTAGGAAAAAAGTAACAGAAATGCTTAACCCTTAAACTGCGCATGGCGTATATATACGCCCTGAGTAACATGTCCCACTGTGCGCATGGCGTATATATATGCCATAGGGTGCCAGGCCCGATTCAAATGGCCCGCGGCTTCACGGGGTTCACAGTAGCTTCCTCAGGGCTCTTGTAAACAGATGCCATTTTTAAAAAAAATCGTAGGCAATATTCTCAGGTGTGAGAGGCACAGTGCTGTTGAAACAACCAAGGCTGGTGCATGCAGCATGAGCGAACAGCATTGCTGTTCAGCTTGTGACCACAGCATCGCCGAAAAATGTCAAAATAAATATATAATTGTTATTATTTAGCGATGACAATATTACAGATGACCCATGACTGTGATATAAATAACCAGGGTTGTGATAATAGCAGGATTGATGTAATAATTAGCGCTGTGGGAGGAGTGATGCTGAGAGGCGGAGGGAGACAGCATCGTTTACTGACTGTGTGGCTACCTGTTATTGTTTGCATTCACCATACCAGGTCAGTGGTTCTCTATGGTGAACACAATGTATCAATGAACGCAATGTATCGGACTGGAGAAATGTCACAAGTGGAGTACCACAGGGTTCAGTTCTTGCACCAGTGATGTTTATTGTCTACATAAATGATCTACCAGTTGGTATACAGAATTATATGAACATGTTTGCTGATGATGCTAAGATAATAGGAAGGATAAGAAACTTAGATGATTGTCATGCCCTTCAAGAAGACCTGGACAAAATAAGTACATGGAGCGCCACTTGGCAAATGGAATTTAATGTTAATAAATGCCATGTTATGGAATGTGGAATAGGAGAACATAGACCCCACACAACCTATATATTATGTGAGAAATCTTTAAAGAATTCTGATAAAGAAAGAGATCTAGGGGAGGTTCTAGATAGAAAACTATCACCTGAGGACCACATAAAGAATATTGTGCGAGGAGCCTATGCCACGCTTTCTAACTTCAGAATTGCTTTTAAATACATGGATGGTGATATACTAAAGAAATTGTTCACGACTTTTGTTAGGCCAAAGCTAGAATATGCAGCAGTTGTGTGGTGCCCATATCTTAAGAAGCACATCAACAAACTGGAAAAGGTGCAAAGACATGCTACTAAGTGGCTCCCAGAACTGAAGGGCAAGAGCTACGAGGAGAGGTTAGAGGCATTAAATATGCCAAAACTAGAAGACAGAAGAAAAAGAGGTGATATGATCACTACATACAAAATAGTAACAGGAATTGATAAAATCGATAGGGAAGATTTCCTGAGACCTGGAACTTTAAGAACAAGAGGTCATAGATATAAACTAGCTAAACACAGATGCCGAAGAAATATAAGAAAATTCACTTTCGCAAACAGAGTGGTAGACGGTTGGAACAAGTTAGGGGAGAAGGTGGTGGAGGCCAAGACCGTCAGTAGTTTCAAAGCGTTATATGACAAAGAGTGCTGGGAAGACGGGACACCACGAGCGTAGCTCTCATCCTGTAACTACACTTAGGTAATTACATTTAGGTAATTACAAATGTAGATACTTATATATAATGTTTGTATTAGTGTAATAACAGCAAAAGGATTATGCTGGGAGGAGCCATATGGGTGACGGAGGTGACGTCGTCTGCACGATTTGTCTAGTTGTTTAGAGGGTGGCCACTATGCTCTTTGGGCGCACTACAAGCTTAGGTGTACAGTTACGGTGCATAAAACATGTAGATACTTATATATAATATGTGTATATAGGGTAATAACACTGCAAACAGTATTGTTGGGGAGAAAGTTTAGTGCGTGTGACCTTGAATGAGTGAGGGAGCCGCCAGCCGCCATCTGTGTATAGCGACGACTCTTAGTGCCTGAACTAACTATATCAGCTTAGCTGTACAGTTGTGGTGAACAAAATATATACATACTTATATATAACGTCTGTATATAGTGTAATAACACCACAAATGGTATTGTTGGGTAAGAAAGTTTAGTGCGTGTGTTGAGGGAGTGGCAGTGAGTGGCTGGCTGGTGTGTGGTGGTAACTCCTCGTTGCTTTTCGACTCTCAATACCAACTTAGTGGTTCGTTATGGTGACCAAAACATGCAGATACTTATATATAACCTGTGTATAGAGTGTAATAGCAGCAAAACTATTTGTTTATTGTTTTATAAGCATAATAATTGAATCACTAATATGCACATCATACTTTTGAGTATAGCGATTATTCACCACTTTTATTATATAAATATATTACAATACACACTATTGAATAATATTACTGCAAAAAAACTGAGAAAAAATCAATCGGAGACATTGAAACAATTAGGTAATAATATCTTTGTGGCAATTCCTACCTGTCAGCGCGGGTGACGCTGACCGGGTCTGACGACCG